AGCAATTTTTTATTTTCCAAGATTATTTTTATTGGAAGGTTATACTTCAATTCGTGTGTGTATATATATATATGGGTTATATACTTATCTTCAACCATCTAATTCTCAAATCATACATAATTAAACAAAAAATGAATTGGGAATTAAATACATAACTCTTTTTTTTGAGAAAATTAAATACATAACTCTTGTGGTCAAATCAGTCGTATTGCTTTGTGAATTATTGATTAAATGATTCCTCCTTTTGCCAACCTGCATTTGATTTAAGGTAATTTTTTTTTATGTTTTTTAATTTTATTTTAATTTCTTTAATTTTTCTAGTTTTGATAATGTCAATTAATTTATTTAATTATTATGTCTAAATGTATTAGTTTTAAATTAATGGTGTAATTGTTGTCACTAAAGGTTTTTTTTTTTGTACTTTTTTGTATTTGTGAAAGTTGAAATCTTTAAAACCTAATTAAAATGACGAGAATTAAAATAAGTACAATATAGGGAAATTTGATTTCGGGTAATCAAATATATAATTGTTATACAAAAGAAATTTCATTTGTAATTTATAGGAAAGTTGTGTGTTGCTTGTATTAAAAATAAAATTATTAAGGCCCCATTTTAATATTAGAACAGGGCCCCTAAAATCATTGCTACGGCCCTGGTAAAAACAATACAATAAAATCCATATTAGGTGTGATAAATGTGTTTATTACTTTATTAAGTATTAAAGTTATTATAATATGACTATTCAAAAAAAAAGTTAATATAATATTTGCTCTAAAAAACCAAATTATAAGGTGTAATACAAAAACAAATTGCAATTTCTCTATTTGTTTTTTTTTTTTTTTGATGTTCTAGAAGCATTGAGGGCATGGACATAGGGATTTGATTCAAGCAGTAAATTCCATTTACTTTTCCCCAATTTATGTCCTTGTTTTTGCTTACTTGTCTCCATTTTCATAGCACGTCTTTAGACCTCTTTTTTTCAAGTCAAAAATTACCTTCTCTCTCATTTTGTCTTCCTTATTTTGCGTAATTTTCTTTGTAACGTTTTTTCTTCTCTTTTTGTTGGGCCCTAAGATAATGTCTCACTTCCATTAGAACTATGACCAAATTCAGTTTTTGATAGGTCATAGGTGCATGCATAATCGTTACTATATGTCGTTTTTTAAGCATAATTGCTACTATATGATTCTCTTTATCCTAAAAAAATCACATTATAAAATAAGCATTCATAAGTTATGAAAATATTTAAAAATTTTGTTTGTTATATTTATCATATTGTAAAAGGCTTTAATGTTTTCAATTGTATGTCAATACACTTTTCTTCACACATGTATTCAGCACACTCGAATATATGAAGTGTAATAGAATTAACAATTATTCTTTATCCTTCGTATTATGTAAAACTACACTCCAAATTAAATTTAACCAAAAAATCACTATTGATCAAAGTACTTCAGTGTAAATCATATATTCATATATATATATATATATATATATATATATATATATATATATATATATATATATATATATATCAAACATTATTAATGCAACTTCATTTTACTAGCTCAAAGCTAATATTAATAATCATACGTACCAAAACTATAATAGAGTACCTTATTACTCAAATATCCACATGTTATGTCTAGATCTTCATGTTACTAATTAAATTAACAAAAAAAATGTTTAATCAGAAAATTAGAAAGAGAAAATAATCATTTTTACGGTTGGATTTACGGAATAGAAGATGGGTCCAAAAAGGACGTACGGTCAAGACGAGGGTGATGGCAGGCTTTTGGGAACATTAGCAATAATATTGAAAGAAACTTTAGGGAACATCATATTATGCTTCCAAAACTATGTGGGGGCTCCATTTTTGGTGGGAATTTAAATATAAAGTACCATTGACATTAAAAAAAAAAATTGCACTTTGAATTTTCAAAAATTCTTGCAGTATTTAATCAAATCAATATCAGAATTATAAAGAACAAATGTAGTTGAGCAATAATGTTTTTTTACATAAGAAATTGAATATGTAAATAAAATTGAGAGCATATAATCTTTGCAAAAAATCATGTGTAATGATCTGAATTTTGTAACTTTTAATGTAGTCTAATTTGATTTGATCTTTTTTTGTTAGTCTAATTTGACTGAATATTTGTTTTATTTGAGTGTTGATACATAAACACGTCATAAGTGGAGTAATATATATACAATCGTCATGCTAAAATATAAGGAAAACCCTAAATTGATAATTAATTTAATCTTAATCTAAATTTCAATCACCTAGCATTATATTATTCATAAAAAAAAATTCACAAAATATTTTATGTTTCAACAAAAAAATATAATTACCCCTTTGTACTAAAAAAAATGTGCCTATATTTTCCCTTTTATAAAACTATAAATATAAAAACATTGCTTTCAATACAATCAAAGATAAGTATGGGATTTGAATTAAAAAGAAAATATATAAGTATGGGAAAATAAAGGCCAAAAACTTAATAATAATAATAATAATAATAATAATAATAATAATATAAAAAAAAAAAAAGTGGACCTCAATTGTTTTGTGGTTTTAGTTTTAGCACCATAGAATAAGATTTTATATATTCAGCATTTTTCTTTTTCTTTTTGAGTATAAAAATATTCATGAAATATTAATAAGACATATCTTTTGAAGTCTAAGACAATGACACCTCAAACATGTCCGATCAATTACAATTGCTTATCTAATCTTCTTTAGCCCATGTTTACATATCTATTTATGAATGTGCACAAGCCCTATGTGGGTAACACCCCTAAAAGTTGTGTTAGGATTATAATAGACAATCTTGGTTTGCATCTGCTTGCCTTTTCTTGGTCTCCCATACCAACTTGTACGTTGCTCCATTTTTTTGAATTTAAAGTTGCTTCCATATGAACATTTGGTGGAATTTCCATATTACTATTACGTACGGATTAATTAGAGATGACTTTGTTGACTTGTATGTACTAGAATCGATCTACTTTTTTTGCGTGATTAAGATTGTCGTTACAAAATTTTTAAGGTTTTCGAGAATCAACTTTAACCAATACTTATCTAGAATATTAGCCCAATTATAAAACAATCTAAGTGGATCATTCATTATTAAACGCTTCCAACCATTTTTGTGTCAGAACCCTTTCTCCGATCTCCCGTTTATAAGTTTAAATAATTCACAATGATCATTCGGTTACATATGAAAGAGGTTTTCGTCCTCGTCTCATTCAACGTAAGGATACAAAAAGTTGGGCACCATGCATGAGTAGCGAAACTACATAATAGTAAGTACATGTCAATGTGTCACGATATTTCGTAATCAAGTAGTAAATGGTACGTCGCTGGCAAGGTGGAACATGTCTCATGACTCTCATCCTCAAGTTTGAACTTGTACAGATATTGTGAGAAATATCTGCCAAAAAACATCACAGCCAAAAATAAGAGATCACAGCTAATTATGTGTAACCCCAAACCATATTTTTTTTGTCCCTAGGAAAATTCATTTTAATTAAATTAATCACCAATCTTCTTGATAAGATTTTAATTTTTACATATTTGACAAAAAAATAAAGTATTAATCATCCTTATCTTGATAATTATAAGATTTTGTTGCTGGGAAATCAAATATATGTATGGCAGGAAAACTTAGGATCAATAAATGTGATGCTTTCTGCTTCTTCAGCAATAAGAATAAGACTTATTAGTATTATTAAATTTTATTCCACTTGCAATTAATTAATAATTAAGAATATTAAGCAAAATCTTAAGGTAAAGATTAGCAACTTGCTAATCTGGGACAACAAAACTGATTTTGATGGAAGAATTTCCAGCTACAATCCTGGATGATAATCTTTAATGTACGTATCTTCTTCGTCGAATCAATGAAAAGAACCATTTACGCGCTTTTTAGCCACAAATCAATCTGAAAATCTGGGTAGAGAAACTTCAACATCAAGATATAATTAGCAAAAGGATGTTGAAAGAAGGGTAGTTGCCCGTGAAAATCTCAGCATTTGTTGTGACAAGTACCAGCAATAATCATATAAGAAAAATGTAGTGGCAAATCTTTATTAGTAGAAAATGTGCACAATAGTTGATTTTCAGGGATTTATTACATTGCAGCCTGATCTAGGACCACAACAGATTGATCACATATGAACAAGATTCACTAAAATAAAATTTTGGAAACTACTAAAAAATCACAACTTTTTGGAAAGTTTTCACAGTTTTAGCCAATGAAAAAGTCGTTTCATGTTAATAATTAAGTCCGGTAGGGTCTTGTTCAGGTAACGAGTAACGTAATTTGGTAATCAGTTCGGTTTAAGTCTATTTGTAATTTAACTATTTAAAACACAGGAGTAACTAAAATCAGCTCGTTCAGGTCGGTTCAAAATCAGATTATATACCATCATGTCAAGCCCAATAGTCACACCCTTAGGAGTGATAGTTTATCAGCTCAACTGCTCAACTACATAATCTAAAATCCAAGATTTACAATAATTATATATAGTAAGAGTATCAGATTCCGAAAATGACATGTCGAGTTCTAGCTTGGTCCAACGAAGAACATCGTTACAGGCCTTGCAGGATATGACAGTTGAATATGTTAAGAACTAGAGCAGTTACTAAAATATCAGTAAGTTATAACTAGTTATGAGTCATATATACAACTTCCACTAGGAAAGAAAAGGGGATTATGCAGATGAAACTTCCTATATCAAATAATTATCTCAAAACTTGTAATAGTTAATTGAAGGCACCTGAAACTGAAAATCTAGCAAATTTAGCAGAATGAAACATGAGAAAGTTCGTAGGAACCTTCTTTATACATTTGGCTAATAATTAACGAAATCGATTGAATTCAAAAAGATGTTCAACAAAAGGGTGCTAAGCAAATTTGACTGGAATTCACCCAGAAACAGGAATAAAAACACAGGTTCAATGAGTTAAATAACAGGCTAACATATAACAGTAGAATATGATGATAATAATTGAGACTGCAATAATAAGTCAAAGTCTAAAATGTCTGATGAGTTAGCAAACTGCAATAAATTAGGGTATCACCTAAACTGAAACCCCACATGTCAAGGGCAAAACAAGAAAAATCAATAATCAATAGTATTACCCAAAGAAGAGGTCCCTTAATATAAACATAACCTCTAAACCACATGGTCATGCTCTCAACATTGGTATGCAATTGCAACATCCATCATCATCCATGTGGGGACTTTGATCACATGGTGAGCAAGGTCTCGGTGTCTCTCTCCTCGTGATCCAACGGCTCTAAAATCTAATCAAGGATCCATATCGCCCGTTGATTCGAAACTGGGTCCACAGTCTTCTAGACTAATTGGATTGTTCTTTGTCCCTCCACTGTCTCCTCACCACAATGCAATATCCCAACACCCATTAGCTGTTTTATATTGTGCCCATAAACAAAGGTAAACACAAAAGAAGACCCTTAACCATAAACTAAACCCCACAGGACTAAAGATCATATAACACTGCTTGTGCTTTGGGTTTGGGTCATCCATCTAAGGGTCTTCCCCACCGACCCTTGTGATCAGACGGTCCACACGAGGCGCGTGGCCCCGGATTAGCTTTTCTAGTGTGGATGGCTAAATAAATAATTCCCCTTAGAAAGCAGAATAAATTCCGACTTAGATGTGTGTTTTATTCTGTCTCCCTTGCCTAATCAATCTCTTTTATATAATAGTATTCCTCCTCTTCCTATCTCCTCATCACAACTCAGCACATATTTCATTCTCTCAAGCTTTGAAATAGCCTAAAGGAGTTTTCTTCTCTGATCATTAGCAACTGTCATATTCATATTGATCAAACAGTTCATCAACCAACAAACCAAACTCGGAGTCTTTCGTTTCTCTAACAAGGATTGATCTGATTTTAGTTCTAAGAATATCATCGATCAAGAAACAATGGCAAGGTCTGAGACATACGAAAATGACCTCCATCTCGAAGCAACTGAGCTCAGGTTAGGATTACCAGGGAGCAAAGAGCCTGAAAATCAATCTAACTCTAATAATGTGGCTAGAAGTATCAAGAGATCATCACCTGATCAACTTCCTGCGGATTCCTCTTCAACAAACAATTCTAGTGTTTCTGATGCTAGAAATGAAGATTGCCCCCCTCCTTCCAAGTAAGTTCTGATTCATAAATCACACCTAAAAAAAAATAACAAAATGCAGACTAATAATCAATCAAACAATAATAATAACACGAAATGAATCGAAAACTAAACGTGTTTCATCATAAAATTTGCAGGGCACAAATTGTTGGATGGCCACCAATCCGTTCATACAGAAAGAACACCCTTCAGACCAAGAAAAGCGAGTCTGATGCATCCGGGATGTTTGTGAAAGTAAGCATGGACGGAGCTCCATACCTGAGGAAGATTGACCTGAAGATGTACCAGAGTTATCCAGAGCTGTTAAAGGCTATGGAAAGTATGTTCAAGATCTGTATCGGACAATATTCTGAAAGAGACGGATATAATGGATCTGATGTAGCACCCACCTACGAAGACAAGGACGGTGACTGGATGCTGGTTGGAGATGTACCATGGGAGATGTTCATCACCTCCTGCAAAAGGCTTCGGATCATGAAGTCTTCAGAAGCGAAGGGACTTGGATGTCTATAAAAAAAAACAAATACATGAGCAGATTATCAATCTTTAAAACTCACAACATATAGAATCAGCAGATTATCAAACAAACAAAAAAAAAGCTTCTGCTCGAGGTTTTTTTTTTTTTACTTTGTGTCTTTCTGAAAGAGAGGCTTAGGAACACATACAGGGAATTGTCAGATCAGATTTTTCTTCTTTTTTTTTTCTTCCCTTTTTTTTTTCATTTTGTTTTCTATTTTGGTTTCTTGTGACCTTCTTGGATGGTTTTGAGTTTCATTCTGGTTTTGCAGCAACAAACTGATAACAAAAGTCAAAACCTGTACTGTTTTTTATACTTTGGATATATATGTATTTGCCTAAGATTCAATTGTACAAATGCAAGAAATATAGATATGACAGAAAAAAGCCAAAAGTAACAATGACATTGTTGACATGATATATACTCTTTATGTTCTAAAGTGTTCCTCCATTTCCTATAGCAATACTTGCATTTCAGAATTCAGATATCCTCAGAATTTACTTTCTTTGATTTTCGTAGAAACAAAATTATTTCAACAAATTAAGATCCAGCACCTGAAAAGTTTAGACTTTCTAATATTAAAAAGCAACCATGTCATGAACATCATCTCACAGAAAAAGGAAACATGAGATTGAAGAAAATTTAGCTAAATTTGGCCACAACACAGATATATTTGGAAGTCGGAAACAAATCCATAGAATCATATCCCCAATGTTCATTGAGTTCAGACATCTGTAGAGGCAAGGGTTTTTTGAATTAATCATAGTAAAAATCGTAGTCTAAGTTACACAGACTCTTCATTCCAAAGTAGAGTGTCTAGTTCTAAGTTCTTTCTACTTCACCCCCTGAGTGTAACATGACACTAGGATCACTTCAATTAGACCAGAACATCAGAAGTAAGAATGAGAAAGCCTTAGCAACAGATGTTTATTACCTGCATCTGTACAAATCTACTGTTCAGTTCTTGTTTCAAGTCCAAGTAGCACATATCACACTTATCTCAGACTACATTTAGTCATACTAAAGAGCCCCTAGAACTATACACTATTAGAAAGAAGCTAGATGAAGGTTCATGCAGTCATCTATTCAACCAAATTGCTACTGATAAGCAGAAGCAGGAAGTTCCGTCACAGACGTAGCAAGGGACTAGCCGTAGCACTTGCCATTATTATCCTATGTCTTCAATATAAAAGAGGTATCATCATAAAAGAGGTATCATCATTATTCCAATATTAAGAAATTGCTGGCGCTGCCATTGCCACAACGTACTGTAAGAAAAAGTATCAAACATGACCTAAAGAGACAATATTCAAACTGCCCTAAACTGTAACATAAAATGTCATCATAAAGTTCATGGACCGTATAGTGGATTTACGATCAGTTATCATAACTAAATCCCAGTTACATGAAATCGTTACAGAGGATAATTTGCTAAACTAGCGTAATTTATGATCAAACCAGACTAAGTTCATTACACTCACTGCTAAAAGATTTTGTAGCCATTTCCACCATTAACTTACTTGTTATCCATGTGCAGTGCAAAAAATAGGCAGGAACATTGCAAGTTGTACGGTGACATATTACTTCATTAACACAAAATGACTTCAACTGCAAATCAAAACTAGATCTGAAAATAATTAAGAGTGATTATAGGGTTGACCCTTCTTAAAAGGTACTTTGTTCACAAGGAAGCCAACACTAATCCTTCAAACATTGATGATAAAGTATAATGAAGAAAAGTACAGTGTATGTGAATGTGAGATTAGTTGGTCAAACTACCCTTAAAGCTTAGGGACGCACAACAGGGCTTTATAAAACCATTAAAAGCTAACTGAAAACCAAACTGTCAGTACATCGACCCGACCTTAGACAGATTCAGTGGCTCACCATAAATACAAGGGTTTGATTATTGCCAGACGAAAGTAACAGACAAAGAGATCCAGTTATCCGCAGTTACACTCATTTCTGGGCAAAAATTTAGTGTGACCAACTGATTTCCCCCCTTCTTTGTTAAGTAGGTTCAAGTCACTAAGAAACACAGCTCAGAAGTCAGAAAAGCATGTCGAACGCTAAGCTATGACAGACCAGAGAATTACTCTCCTACTTAATAAAGAAGGCTTTAAGGGAAATAGAGGATCAACCATGTCATTAGAACAACCAAAGAAACAAATCACTGTCTCGGTAATTAAACCAGTAAAACTATGAATAGGAAAAATGAAATCATATCCTGAAAAAAGGGTGAGTAGAAAAATGTCATTGAGGGTTTATATTCTTTACCATTTAGACATGTTAGCATCCTGCCAACAATATACAATATTATCATGTGATATTATTTGGGTATCCATCAACTTTTGACAGCAACTTGATCTTCCACAATGTTTGTATTCAACCAAAAGTCAAGTGAAAAAAAAAATACTGGTATTAAATGCTGCACAAAATTCATCACAACTCAACAAGATTTTTTTCAGAATAGATTAGTGATAACAAGTTCACATAAAGATAGACTCCGGGCAAAATGTACATTACACTAAAAGGCTACGAAAAAAAAAAAAAAAAACACACACACACACACACTAATACCATAACATACTGTACAATAGAAAGGTGCTAAGCTCAAAGTTCATAAATCAACCTACAAAGGGGCAGAAATGGACAATAAATGAGCATGTAATTATACAGAAGTGATCCAATAGCAGCAAAGATGTCACAGCATCTAGTAACCACCATTGAAATAACTGGAAAAACTTGAGTCTTCCTGCTTTTGAAAAGATTGCATTCTCGAATCCAATATTTCCAATTGAGATTTCACCCATGGAGGATTATACCTGGCATCCACCCACAGAGCTTCGCCAGTGTCTTTGTGCTTGAAATCAGGATATTTGGGAGTTTTCTGCATAACAGATATCAGCAGCAACAAGTGAGGAATTGAACAAATCCAAATTAAACCAGCACCATCCCAACAAGGGCAGAATCCATATAGGCAGGAATTAAATGACTAAACCTTCTACTAGCTGAAACTATCACGGAAATAATCCAAGAGACCCATAAAGAAAACTTTCAACAAAACAGAACACTAAACAAAAGTGCACGGTGGACAATCCAGAAATGTAAAATGACAAAATTGATACTTGTATATTACTAAAACAATGTACTCACTGAACTACTGCAGTGTCTAAGATAAGTTAGATAACGTCCAACTAAATTGGAAACAAACTGATTCAGTAATGTAAATATAAACTCAAAACTGTTTATTTTTTAAAAAGACCATCACACTTAAGTATCATAAAAATTTCTTATACTTTGTAGTTCAATATAATTATAAAGGGAAGGCTTTCATCATTAAGAGCTTAACATTGCAAATGCCAATGAATCTAAAATTAGCTTCAGTAAAATCAATATTGAAAGTTACATAACTTGCACCCCTGAGACCTTGTTAAGGGTTTACACATTTTGTCAAAATGATTTTTTTGGAAAGAACCTTAAGCTCCAAAAACAAACACACACACACACACCCAAAAAAAAAAAAGGCACTCAGAGAATGGACAATAACATGAGCCATGAATCTCAGATGAGGTGTTAGCAACGTGAGGCTCGTCATGATCGTGTAATCCAACATCCAGCACTTTGTTCATTCACTTTAATATAAAAAAAAGTCCAAAAAAGTTACATTAATTTCTGATAAGCTCCAATAAGCCCGGGTATGAACCATCAAAGTTCAATTCACAACTAAATAATTTTTGAAAAAATTCACACAAGTTCCAATAACTTCACTTAATTTACAAAATTTCAGATAATGGTTTTTCAAGAAATGGAACAAAATTACAAAACCCAAGTTACAGAAGATTTAGTGGAGAATTAGCAGTTTAGCACTCCATTGGTGAGACCCTGCCACAAGTTATATACATAGGATAATTACCTTTTCAAGAAATCAATATGTACACTATGAATTTCAAGTAATATCAAGTTTTCATGCAAGGAATATCACAATGAATAGTGAAGCATATTACCCATGCTGCAAAACCAAGTCAGCACCCAAATAACACCTGAAATCGGGAGGATTGCAGATTTGCACTCACTATAGATTATAGAATCCCAAATAGCAATCAAAGCTACAAATTTATTCATGGTGAATCCAATTTCGAAGGCTATAACTCACACTTGTCATGCCCTTTTAAAAGTTGAAGAAAAATTCACAAATCTGGGTAAAGGGTCTTAATGCCACCTAAGGTCAAAAGATGGGCATGAGAAAAATAGATGACCTAAACTGCCTTCTATAAAGTTAATTTCGTACTTCTTAAGTTTTGAATCACGTCTTTATATGTTAAGATGCAATGGACTTTCTCCTAAAGTGAGTATCCCCTAATGGTCAGGATAATCATAGATGGCCTTAAACATACATCATTAAACCCATATCACTATTGTCCAGTAACACTGCTACAAACTGAAGGGGGAAAACATAATTCACAAATTTCACTAAGTATTTAAGAACAATAGAAGACCCTTGAGGTATCAAATGGCTCTGTTAGGCATTAGCAATCACGAATTCGAGATAACAAACGGCAGTCCTACAGATTGCCGGTGGCTCTACCCCTCTAGTAGCCATCAAACCAATAGATTAGTCTTTACACAGATCCCCCCCCCAAACCGCCCCTCCTCTTTCCCCTCTGCCATCCCCCTCCTTCTGAACAGCTAACTCAATACTCAGGAGACCCTAAAAGTTGTTCCCAAGTGGAGCTTGACAAAGATTCCCAAAGTTGGTGAAGTGACCATATGACCCTAGATGACATCAAGCAAGCAATTAACCAAGGAAAAGTCTATTTTATGGAGTAAAACCAATCACCATTTTGGACATGTCAGCGCTTCCAACGAAATCTTGATAAAAACCTACGTATATTAATAACAAGCTTTCACTGAAGGCCCCACATGCCTATCAAAACCACAACAAGACACCACATCCAATATAGCACTTTGTGAAGCTATCCTACAGAAATAGCCCACACCCACGAGACGCTCAAGATGCTAATCGTATATTTTAGAAAAAAATTAAAGAGCAGGCACCATGTGTTGCTTAAGCCCCTGTCATGGCAACTCAAAGCCACCTTAGGAAAGGTGACTTAAAACACTGGTCCTTACACCCCAACCAGCAAAAGCACCCGCACTGCAACTCAATGCCTATGAGACTTTGAAGATCCTAGTGTCAATTCAGATGCTCAAATGTATGCAATAATTATTGTGACTATTTCGGGGATTCTCTCAATAGAACTTTAGGAAAAAGACTATCAAGTCAGCAATGAGAAAATGAACATCACTAGTCATAAAATCGGCTTAAACGGAGCCTAACTTAAAAGGCTACAATGCAAAACATATGTGGTCCTTTAATAAGCACTAAGGTGATTATTTTCAATAATAATTTGCCTATTCGAGTTTTTGTTGGAAGGAAGACACTAAAATTGCTAACTACATCAGTAAACCACATTCCAAAACCACTCCCAAAATTGGATCAAAGATGAATCAAAAAGCTCAGAGTGCACACATAAGAGATATTTTTGCACAGAAATGCAAGTTCTCATTCAGAAATCAAAAACTATGCTTTTAGAGTCATGTTAATGGCTCTCTTAACTCATGCCTTTATACCACCACCATATGTTCACAATAGGAATTTAGAGGCAAGGTTTTAGAAGATTTGAACTCATTTCTCTAAGGCCTTTCCAATATAATACTCCCTCTCTGTCCTTAAGAGCGTTCATATTTGACCTAGCAATGAAAGCAACCAGAAAACAACACATAGCTCAATGGACTACCTTATTCTTCCTATTGTCCCACCATTCTGTTGGATTGGCAAAAAATGCTTGCCATAGCTCTTGAGTGGAAAGCTTATTAGTTGAAGCAGAGTTGTCAAACTTCCCAACTGTAGGGAAAAAATAAAATAAAATATCATGTCAGCTGAAACATTCAAAATAAAAAAGATAATTCCAAAATCATGCCCATGCAACTGTGCTAAATAAATTAATCACCTGTTGTTGAACCAGGGCTGCCATCATATAAGACCACTGGAGAAGAAGAGTTCCTTTCAACAAAGTTTAGTTGCTGAACAACTACCTGAGAATCATAAATTATGAGTCTGCATATTAGAAAACCATATACAAAGCTATGAAGCAAGGTGCAAGAATTATAATCATACATAACTAACCTTGTAGTAAGTCTGTTGTTTCCCATCTTCACTTTCAACAGTATCTGACACCAGACGGCCAGAGACATATATCTGCTGACCTTTCTCCAAATGCTGATGAGCTACATGTGCCAGATCTTCCCAAAATGTCAAATTGATCCTACAACACAAGTACAATTGACTTACTTCATCAGTCAAAAAAGAGACTAATACTTTTACCACAAAAGGTTTTAGTTTGCATTTGACGAATCAAACCAATCAATGCCTTAATCCCATGAGTGGGATTAAATCAAATCAAATGCTGAACATACAATTCACTTTTCCATTTACCCAAAGTGTAGTCTTTTATAAGGGTCTTGGTTCTGGCAAGAGGTGCAAGAAGTATTTTTGACATGCAATCAATGGCAAACTACACAGTACACATAGCTGAATTTTGGCAGTAACTAAGACAAAAAGTAGCTAATGCAAATTTCTAGCTGAAACACGCATATTTTACTAAAAGATTTTAAATAAAGAAAAGGGTAATCATCAGAAACACAAAGTCCCCTAAGAGAGTACAAGTATACAACGAATCATTAAACAACCTGGAAATTATTGAGTCAGTGCAACCAATAACATCCCTAGTTTACTTTACTACACAAACTGAAAGTAATCTTCAGAATCCAATTGCATTTGACAAAGATGGACAATGAATTAGCCAAATCCCATGTCAACCCAAAAGCTCTTAGCTATTAGCTGGAGAGTTTAGCCACACTTATAAATCTAACTCTCTTTACATATCTAGAGCACCCATTAGTGTGCGCATGGAAATCCCAGAAATCTCTCTCTGACATGTGTGTTCCTCTAAATCTCCATGAGCCTTTATATTTTGCTCTGAACTCACAGCAATACTCAGAACCTCCAAAGTGCCAACTTTACTCTCAACTCCTATCGCTTTTCATATTGCAAGGGTATTCTATTGATGGAGCAATGCAGCAAACAATTATACTGGCATAGTACCCCTACTGTGACCAACTAAGCCCCATCAGATCATAGCATGCCTACATCAGTAACCTTGACTTGAAGGGAGACATGATCTCAAGAATCCAAGAGAAACATGAGTGCAATCTTGAGGATAATTTCATCACCCGATTGGTAGGCGGGAATAGTGATGACTTAATATAGTACAGTGTTTATAAAGGAAGTTACATGCAAATGCCAATGTCAACATCCCCAAACAAAGAGTGTTTGTTCCTAAATTCCCATTACCATTCAATCCCATTTTTGAAGTGGTAAGACATTGTGATGGGAGTATATAAAGAAATTAATATGTTTGGAGCTGGACAAGCACTGCCATGGATATGAGCAAGGGACTATGCTTAAAAAGCTTCATATAAATTCAAGCATTCTTTAAACAAATAAAATAAAAAAATAAAATGCAAACACATTGGAATTCAAACATAGATTTGCCTTACCTACAATTACAGCTGCCAAAGCTATTGCTTTTATACATGACAAATCAACCGAAATATCCAAACCTTCTTTTCCCTTGTTACATGAATACTATTTCCGTTTTATCACGTCTAGATAATTCTATTCAAAATCTAGAGAAGTCGCACAATCCATGTCCATAACCACTATACTCTACGAATGCCAATTTGACCCATTAAGTCACCAACATCTCTTCTCCAACTACTGTCACCAACACCTCATATCCGGCTCCCAAAGGTTCCATAAAGAAATACTCAAACTCTAATAAGCACCAAGCATTTCATTTGAAAATTTATAAGTGTCTATGGTAATTACACTCTTTATTCTCAACAAAGTATTCCTACAAAAAAATTTGGTCCCTTCAAATTACACCCTAAATATAACATAAATTGAAAGGGCCAAAATCAAAGTCATGTCTAAATCTCAAAACCTTTAGGAACTAAACACCAACTACAAACACATTCTCAATTTAGTTGTTCCCTCACACAAATACACAATCTGTCTAGTGACTCTTGTCCCGGCATTAAATATACACAACAACGGAATCATACGAATTTCGATCACATGCTCAATCAAGTATAAACAATTCCCAAATTCCAGCACTATCCCAATTGCCCACTGACCATAAATACACCAAATTACAAGAACTCAACGGCTATCATTAGAGCAATACAATAAAATTCATTAAACCAAACCATATAATAAGCAAATTGAAATAATAATCAAACAAAGATGCGAAATTTAAAAGTACCAACTAGTATCAGTGGGAGATTTCCGAACAGCAAGACGGGTAGAAGCAACAACTTTGCCAGAGCTAAGTTGATTAAATTGAACAGGCAATGCAACAATGCCAATAAGTTGAACAGAATTACAGAGTTCTTTCTTCCACTGAATGTCCGAGGGTCGTGGGTATGTTCCAGAAGACTCGTAGGAGTCTCGGTTGTCCAATGAACATCGCGGCAATGTCTTGCACACCAAGTGTTTGATATTTTGCCTCAGAGAAAATGAGATAATTGAAGGGGTTAATGGAGATGAACATGAAATGGGTATTAGGGTTTTCAAAGGATTTTGAAGTTTGCAACACAAAGTTGTTGTTAATGTTGCCATTTTTGTGTTGAATATTTGGCTTTCTGTGTTTTTTTGTGTTTGTCTCGGCGCCAAAGCTTGGGGACGATTGTTTCCTTCAATGCCGTATAGGCGGTATTTGTGGGATTTTTGTGATTGTGAAAGCGATTATTTATTTATAAGCCCTTTCCCTATATAATGTTATCAAAAGATTTAATTTCCAAATTGCGGTCATTTTTTCATAAATTCCCTAAATTCAGTCCACGTAAGCAAGTGGAAAATAAACCGTTATTTTTTTATTGGTGAAGAGAGAAGTCGCTACTTGATGTGGCGGTTTTTAGAAATAGAAATCGATACTTCAGGTAGCGGGTAGCGCTTTCTACTACGATTCAAAAAAACGAAATAGAGCTAGCAACACGAATTTTTATCAACAAACAAAAAAGTAAAATAAAAAATACATAAATTACTCCAAGATTGAATATTTAGGAGAAACAAAACAGAGCCAAATTAACTCCCAACCAAACAGAATTTAAAAAAAACAAAATTAAAACTAGTTAATTTGATTAGATAGATAAAAATTGGATTTTGATTTTACTCCGAATAGTGGACACCCCTATCAAGCGCAACTCTTAACAGTGACGGAATCAGGTAGATCTCTACTAGGAAGTTGAACTCTATGTGCACCCAAGTGAATACAAAAGGTGTTGCTTTTCACCTTTTGAGACCTCCTAGATTTTTTTTGTTCTTAGTAAACTTAGAAAGACAAACCCTAATTTTCTAGTGAAAAACTTAAAAAGATAAACCCTAACTAAGGTGTCGTTTGGTTCACAAGGGAATTAGAATTTCCCATGAATTGCAAATATATGGGAATTTAATTCCTATAATCAAATTCATGGGATTTTCCAAAAATTGTTTGGTTAACAATGAGGAAAGTTACTTCCCAAGGGAATTTCTACTTACCTAGGGGGGTTAGGTAAGTGAATTCCTACATTTTGTAGGAACTCAAAATTCCTAAGAAGTTCCACTTCCCCCATATCACCAAATTTTTGCCAACCAAACAACATATAAAATCTGTAATTCCTAGGAAGTTTCAATTCCCATGTTTTATTATGTCAACCAAACAAGCCCTAAGACTCTAAGAGGTCCCAAAATGAACAAAAAAAAAGCTACATTGGGTGCACCTACCTCTATGACACCCAGGGGAATACAAAAGTTGTTCATTGTTATCAAATTGGAAAAATCCATCCACTATCTAGTACAATAGTACCCACAATAACAAGGTATACATGTTTAGCGTCCCAATTGGTATAAGGTTATAAGCTAATAGCTTTCATGCCCAAGGTTGGGATTCTTATCAGCTATCACTAAAGTTTAGTTAAGAGATAGATAATCTTGTACTTGTGTATACACGCATCCTAAGTGCGAAACGTAACGTTAAGCTTTATGCCTCCTCCCTACTCTTTTCTCCACCCTCATAAACTATATAAAATTGATGGAAGGGGTAAAGGTAATATCAATGTTTGGCAATGTTGTAATGCATGTTACCAAGTCAAATACAGGGTGAAGTACAACAAGCTCCAAACATTCACTATTCAACTGAAAGCTTTTTCCACATGTAATACCAGAAGTACATACAGAGTAACGAGGATTATTATGTTCTTCCAAACACGGGGCTCATGCAGGTCAGCAAGAGCTCATCCGTACAACAATCTGCCACCTAAAATCACAACTAAAATAAAGCACCAGATATGTGAAAATGGAAACAGCGATGGCATCAGTACAAAAAAATTGCTACAAGCTCTTCAGAGCAACATGGTGTATAGTTGAAATAAACATCGCGTTATTTGAAGCATCGTCCTGCAGCTGCCACCTTAGCAAGCATCAAGATCCCTGCATGGAGGCGGCTTTGGTTCACCTAACAATGTTTTATTTCCTCCTTCTGGAGCACATTTGAATCGGTTTGGATTTTGGGTGCCAGGCTGAAACAGAAAATCAGAGTAAGAGCAGTGCATTGCATTTACATGGATCTATTTGACACCCATCACTCTATAATATTTAAAAAAATTACAGAGAAGGATTAACAGGAGGGTCAAGTTAGAAATGCATTATACAGAGTCAGCATAAAGGAAGAACAGCAGATACAAATGAAAAATGCTCTTCAAGGCAACATCAAAGTTAGAAAAATATTTCTCCTTTCATTTTTGTGTCCAACCCTAAGTATCATCAAGTGTTTTTGGGTGCATCTATAAGTACAAAAGTTTCACAACCATGTATTTTAAAAGGTCTTCAGGGAATGGCAAGCAATGTTTTCTAACATAACTGGTATTTTCAGGGGTGTAACTGTAATTAAACGGAAGTTAACAGTTGTGCAGAATTCAGAATCACACAGCCCTTGTAAATATATACTGTAGTTATTGTAGTTGCTACTATTTCTAGCATATGTATTGAAATACAAAATAACTATTGTAATCCATAATGGGCGCTAAGACATGAGCATATTAGTAGTGTTTTCATGTATTGTTGTTTTTGGTTTGTGAAGACCGACAAAAGATCGTATTAAAACAAATTCATTAAAATATTATGCCAAAGATTAACATTCATATCCAGCACTGAAGTGAAGCATAGAAAACAAAATCAAAGGAGCATCAAGATCAATGACATGAAGCGTTGGCAGCAATACAAAACAGTGATGAACAAAAATTGCAGCATCAGGGAGGAGATTGAGAGCACTTTCAACATCAAATAACACATGATAAAGAATGACAGAGACTGCATACCCTAGGGCTGTGGAGCGTGTAATGAGACTATTTCAGTAGCTATCCATTAAAAAGCTCGGGGATGTTTCTAGACATGAAAAGACTTGGTCTACTAGCTGTAGCTATTAGATGGAATGAGAAACTCCCATACAGCAATTACAGCCTTGCAGGGAGAGTTTTTGAGCTCTGAAAGTTACCCTAGGTACATGGGTAGAAACAGGTAGAGGATAGAGGCTAACTAGTTAGAGTAATAGAGTAACAGTGAGCTACTCACAATCATAATTTCATCAGGATTGTACAGAAACATATTGCAAGCGTAGAACTTATTAGGATAAAAAATATGATTCCAGAAGATCCTTTTTTCTCTTTTACATTGACTACCAGAAAGAACATGTAGCTTTGTCATGCTACAATTAGGATGTCAAACTAAATTGACAGCTTGACCAGGATTGTATCTGGCCTCTTACTACTTTTTCCGAAATTCTGACTAAATTTATAAATGATTCACTTCCATTTTTCATGCATAACAGCATAAGATATATTAAATAATAGAGAATTCACAGTATCAGCTTCTGCCTAATTGTCCACTAAATAAGCCTTGCTATATGATAAGAGTAAACAAACAAAACTTCAAAGCAGTAGTCCAGGGGTTTATTGAGAAAGGGAAAAAAAAAAGAAGTCAGCTGAGTAGACTTACAGGTGGCTTCTCTCCCCTCTTCAGCATTTCAACAATTTCTACAACACGCTTTGGAGTGACATCCTCCTGCATTTGACAGAGGACATAAACATAAATTTCCAGATATGCCTTAACTTGTTTAATTGATGACTTAACAGTGAGAAAGGCAGCCTTACAATGTAGTTGTAGGTATATCCTTCAGATCCATTGGAGTAGTCGGCAATGGTTATCATAGGAGCATTCACACAACATCCCTGTTAATATAAAGCACAAGGTGACTTCTTACTTCATATAGAATCAAAGTCAGAGAAGTGCAATAAACTGCATCAAACAATCAGAAAAATGAGGAAGCATTCACCATGCACTCCATTTCTCCAACAGAGAAAAGACCATCCTTTGTCACTTCTGCAGATGAGAATACAAACAAAAACTATGAAACAATTCCTGATCTCATCATCGAGGGTCTTTAAGAAACCTTTTAAGAAAAAGATACACACGACTAACCATTTCGCTTCACCCCCAGATGATTCAATAAGGCTTCTTCAATTTCTCGTGAACCACGGATCATACAAGGTGTTGTTCCACAAACCAAAAGATGATATTTTCCAACCTGAATAAATGACAATTATTTGATGAAGCAAGAGGAAAGTATCCCATAATACAATTGGAAATCAACCAATCATTAATTTCAAACCTTGCTTCGATTGAACATCGAGTAGAAAGTTGCAACCTCATATACACGGATAGGAGCGACTTCTATAATCCTGGCCACCTGCATAATACACAACAGCAATCACTCTCTTAATTTCATCCATTCATGCGAGGAAGCTAATTACTTATTCCAAAAGAAATTGCTAGAGATATTATTCAGTTGTGTCTTTATATTTGTAGAAAGAACAACCAAGTGTTCCTCAGATTGCTACATTGATGTAAATTTTCAAAATACACCGACAGAGTCAGGAGTCAGTCACAGCTCTGGCAAACTAAAAACAAATGGTAGTCATCATAGCTTTACTAATTTCCCCTATAGACAGTAAAGACTAAAGAGCATGCATGCTAAAAAATTATGATATCTGGTGCACAATTCAAGACACTGTGCTACAAAATATTCAATGAATTAAATACCCAGGATATATATATGGAATAAGTGTTATTTGCTGAAACCTCAACCAACAATCTCTATTCCAAAAATGAAAAATCAATTCAATAACTTAAGAAGAACCCAAGGAACAGCATGTAACTTAACTGAGGCCATATCCATATCAGCATATCAAAATTTGACACTCCAATTACATGTTAAAACACTTTACTTCTTAATTCCAAAATTTTATTATCCATGACTTTGAGCATAAAAAATATCCCTAGTTCCTAGCATAGAATATATAAATATAGTATTGAGGCTACATTAGTGCAACAAGCCTAATAGTGAATAACATCTTTTTTGGGTGAGGCCACGGGAGAGGGTGATGGTTATGTGTTCAAAATCTTCAAATCAAGTTCACTTCAGCACTGTAGGCTTGTAGCCAAGTAGTATGTAAGAAAATTATTCAATCCAATACATTATAGATCACTGCATCCATGTTATATGACTCTAGCACCACTTCAATCCTCCTTACCATCACAATCTCCAAATTATATTCTAAACAAAATAAGTAAATCTTTTGAAAATTATTAAATTATATTTAGAACAAAACCATAAGCAAGACATTTTGTAGGCATACCTCATTCATAGCAGAAACAGGTAG